GCAGTCATCCCTACCAGAGACAACGTGCTTCGGGCACATTGGAAGGGATGGCCGGGGTTTTTCCGACTCCACGAAGGGGAGTAGGGTAAGGCCCAAAGCACAGAAAGCACAGAACATCAGAAGAGACAGAACATTTTTAGAGCTTCAGAAGAGAACACACCTTAGACTTTCAGACAGAACAGAACAGAAGACATAGAGAGATACGCGTAACGGTTAGGTTGCGCGTTACAAATAGAGTACTAGCAATTCATTTAGTCCCACTACAGTGGGTGGTCCTTCGAGTTAGTCGGCACCAAGTGCAATATTCAGAGGATCTCCGTCATCCATCTGATGAGTCCTCAACATCTGTGTTTGATGTTATTCGCACGAACCCCCTTTCTCTCTCTCTCTCTCGCTCTCTCTTTCTACATTCGTAGTGGGTATTGTTCTCTCAATAAAAAAGTCCGGAAGTCGTTCGTCACCCTATTTCACGTGCTCCCTAACAACGAGTAGGCGGAAAGCAAAATTTGTCGGATAAGCTATGCGAAAATGAAACGCGCGGAATGTAACGATGAATTTTTCCGCGTCCTTGAGAAACCACGGTATTAAAAAAAAACGTATATTTGTTCCTCAATTCGGACACAATGGGGTCCGACCCTAATTCAAAATAGTATTGCGCAATGCGCGACAAGAGTTATTAACACGCATCGAGTGAGTTTTCTACGTGCTTTCGTTAGTAGCCCGTCAAAATGGCCAATTACACAGACTATTTTATAATTGTTGAGATTCTAAAGATGATTTTGCGTGCAGTTACCGTATCTGTCTATGTGTATTTTCTAATAAAAACTGTGGAGTGCCTTGAATGAACGCGGAATTATTACTTTCCAAAAGAAATATAAATTAGTCGCGATTAGTGCTCGATAGTTTTAGCGCTAATCTTGTCACGAACGAATCGTTTCCATAAACAGGTGTAGAGAACATTTAAAAAGAAACTGTTCGCTTCGTAATAAAATTACAGTATAAATAGAATTGTTGATAACTGGAATGAGTCTGATAAACGTAACAGGCACGCGCGCGACAGTGAAAATTGCCGAGATAAGAATAACGCCAGCTTGTTCATCGTCCAATGAATTTTCGAAGGGATCCTGAAATTTAAATACCTTTTTATTTGCACGCTATTCGAGCTACGTAATCATGGTTCTTTCTGGATTGACTTTCATTCACGATGTCTCCGTTGTTCCCTGACACACGTAGGAGCATCGCACAAAAGTAGAACAATATAGTATAGCTTATCTTGAAAAATGTTTGGTCTCCAGGAGTCGGCAACAAGCATTGTGTATGCTTTGTGTTCGCTGGGGCCGGACTGACATCCCTGAAAGTACATAATCCGGTGTTAAGCCGACGAACTGGCTCGGTGTGTACCCTGGACATCCTGCGAAATCGCAGGACATTCGAACCGTGATCCATGGATCCTTTGCTATCCCACTGTTCACGATCTCCGGGCTATATTTTCAAAATTAAAATTTCTTCGTCTTGTTTTCAAACATGATTTCATTTGCAAATTACAGGATTTGATAAAGTAGTAATTAGAACAGAGAAGAAAATTATTTGCGCTGAATAAGGGACAGAAAGTCATTTAAAATAATTTATTTAAACGTTCGCATCGTTTTGCTCGCGTGGAGATATCTCTTATCCGGCGCATATAAGTACAACAGTGATTTACAGTATAGCTGCTCAGACATTCGACTTTGCTTTCCGAAAACACAAATGAAAATACAGAAACCTTATCGCAAGTTTGTAAGAACAATATGGGTTGTAAAATAAAGCTCGAACACAACGTTTCTGCAAAAAAGGATTATATTTACGTGTTCGGAAATTTTAGACTCGACGATAGGCGCTTCTTCTCATGGAAAATATCACTAACAATAAGATCAAATGAAGAGAATCGTTTGTCATTTGATAATATTAAAATATCCACGTGCACGAAGATTTTATGGATAAACTATCGTATGTACAAGGAATGTCGGTGTTTCGCTGACAATGTAATGGACATTTAAATGCAGCAATTTTGTCCCAAGTTTCTTTAAAAAACAGAGATAGTTTCATATGTAGAAGCATCGGTTTTTCTAAAGTTCTCTTCGTCAGGCTGTACGTGTGAAGGATACAAGGAAAACAATACCATCGAAACCGTTAAAAATCTATAAAAGTATCACCCTTAACATTTAAGAATACGAAATTTGTACTTCGGACATTGAACGCAAACATTTTGTTCCACTGAAATCGTGCGATTTAAATTATTTTTCTTGTACTCTCTGGAAGTACTTTCCGTTTTTCGTTCACAACGAATTACATAACAAGGAGCCTGGCGACATCGAGAAGAAAATAGAAACACCACGCTTCTGTCTTTGGGCAACACTTCTCTTTTCTTTCTCTTTAAATTAAATTCTAAATTAAACTGAACTGTTCTCGCAGTGTTCGGTGAAAATCCTCTTCTCTCGGTGCTCGTGTGAATGTCTTGAAGTGAAGCCTACGTAAGATCCTTCTTGCAGACACTCGTTTCAAATGAATCGGCTTGCAAGCGTTACTCGTGCCTTACAAGCACCACATCCCCTGTTACTATTACACACTAGCACGCAACCACTTACAAAATAGTATCTGTAAATTGTTTTAAATTCAGTCTTTATGAGTCTTCTTAAATATCTATTTCTTGTTTCATTTTCTTTTCCATATTCATTCTTTTTCTTTTGTTCGGAATACAAAAACTATACACAAATAAGAGTAACAATTCCAGTTATTTTCCATATCGTTGTTCGCATTTATTGTACTTCTCCAGCAGACACATGAAGTCCTTGACTGATAAGTTACCATGTACTGGTAACATACTGAAAACGGATAAGAAATACCATTGAATAGTCTATGGACGAATGTGAATCAATTAATGAGACCCGTGTAAAATTAATTAAACCTACCAAAATTCCGTTATTCGTGTTTGCCACGGCAAAGCTCCATACGTAGAACAAAGGCGGCCATAGATTACTCCTAAATCGGGATCAGGTATTCCTCGGGAATTCAATTTCTCGTTAAGCAAATCAGCATCTATCTCGTCAGATTTAATTGTTCCTGTGAGAACCGCATCGGCCAAATTTCTTGTCAGTGTAACTATTTCTTCTTTCCCATCTAAAGCGCATAACAGAGATACCCGTATCTTCAGTTTAGAACCTACAAATTAAAAACATTGATCGATCGTAATTGTTGTACGAAGAATTTTCGGAAGACTATACATATATAAGACTGTACATTTACCGGTCACTCCATTTTGTGTGAATACTGTTTTCGGTTTACCCCAGCTGATATGATCCAATAAATCAGGTCTTCTCTTTGCAATCTCATGTTTCAGAAAATTCTCATTTCTCACCAAGAAACCTGTAATAGATATGTAAAATTATGTAAATTAAAAATGAATTCACAATTCCATGGATTATTTGCCTAGTTTACTTCTTTTACTGTTATGATATAACTTGCGATTCTTTACTTAAATATGAATAATGATCTCTTATCCATAATTCAAGTGGTGATAGGCAGATTATGCACGCATTACACCAATAGTTTAATCTGAATGATAACACGCAACATGTGCGTATTCTATTTGTCCTTGATTCTGTATAGTAGAACACTTGTGTAACATTACATCATTGAATTTGAGATAGAAAATAATTATGATAAGACT